CACGGATAAGGCATTAATGCATGAATATGACAATATATATACATATATTTATGGTACAAAGTATTAAGATGTCAAAATTTATGAAGATATAAAACACGATTGTCACATGAGAAAATGCACCAACATGACAGATACTCAAATTGCCAGGTCTAGTTTGAAAGCTAGTTTGCTGGATTATGGAGGATGCTGCCTCTTAGATATTGTTTATTTTTTCCGCTTAAATGACTGCAAAAAAAAAAAATGGTGTCCTAAGTTTTATTGCACTCATTCGGAATGATTAATAAATAAAAGTCTGAACTTGAAGTAAAAAGCGCAGGGGGGCTGATTGTTCATGAAAAATGTTATAATTTCAGGAGGAACTAAATTGAAATGCTTCAATTAAAATACAGACTGGCCAGATCACACAAAAAGGCATGCAAAAAGAAACTTTTTGAAGTAGCATCACTTTGGCATTGTTGATTAAACCTGTTGCTACTTCTGTTATCTATGTATGTAGTGCAGATGTGGTTAAAGTTAGGTTGCAAATGCAGCTTGTAGGTCAGAGGGGTCCTTTGATTGGAATGGTATTTGACCAATGCTTTTAATTTTATTTTCCTGATGAAGATTATCTGGTTTATCGGATTCAATTGATTTGGCATTTCAATAATTACATGGATGTAAACAGCGACCATTGTTTGCTCAAGTAATGAAAAACGAAGGACCAGAGTCTCTATATCTAGGATTGACACCTGCATTGAACAGGTCTCTTCTATATGGAGGTCTGCGTTTAGGCTTGTATGAACCGTCAAAATATGTCTGCGATTGGGCCTTTGTTTCCAAAAACATCTTGATTAAAATTGCATCCGGAGCATTTTCCGGTGCCATTTCAACGGCCCTTACCAATCCTGTGGAAATTCTGAAGGTAACTTTACACCGTTACAAACTCTGCTCTTTTAAGCTCATTGTGAACATAAGAAATCAATTTCTGCCATTAGGTGCAGCTACAGATGAACTCAGATTTGAGACAAAGAGGGTCAATCGCGGAAATGCGCAGAATCATCTCCAAAGAGGGAATAAGAGCCCTTTGGAAGGGTGTTGGCCCTGCATCGTTTAGAGCTGCTGCCTTGACTTCTTCACAGCTCGCGACATATGATGAATCCAAGCTGGTAAATATCTTAGCATGCCATTTTCAGTTTGAATTGCATATCCAAAAAGTAATTTCCAAAGTTTTTGGATGCATTATTCAATGTTTAATTTATCATGTTTAATTTGAATATCCACTTTTAAAGTTTTTTAAAATTCTACTAATGCGGATATTGATGAAATTGACCCCTCTTGAAGAAGGAATTTACCTGCATCTCGCGTATGATACCTCCCATGCTTCTTTTTTCTCCTTTCTTGGCCCGTTGTACCAATTTAATTGAAAGGAACAAATACTAAGATACTTCAACTTGTTAAGTTAATATGTTGTGAATGAAACTGAAAATTATACCAAACAAGAAACATACGGAAATACAAAGTAATTTTAATTGAAGCAAATTTTTGGTTTGAGAGCAAAGAAGGGCTTACAATTGATAGTTTAACTATCAACTTAATATTTTAGAATGTGCCATTATGTTAGTGAAAGTTTTTCTTTCTAACACAATTTGTTCTTGGATTTTTAATCTCTTAAAGCTCAAGTACAATTGCTGGCTTGGTGAGCACCCTAATTACAGCACCCATTGACATGGTTAAAACCCGTCTTATGTTGCAACAAGAAAGTGCTGTAAGAAACTATAAAAATGGGTTTCACTGTGCATATCAGGTACAGGATGGGTTTAATTTCTAGTGGTTTTTATTAGTTTTTATATCTTTTACTTTTATATGTTCCCTTCTTCATGGTTTGTATTCACTAGAATCGTTAAGCATCCAACCTAAAATCAAACCGTAATAGGTGGAGGACTCGACTTAAAGAATATAAGAACATACGAAATCAGTAGTTAATAGACGTGGGACGATACAAACTAAGAGTTAGGACTCCCCTCATGTGTAGCTCAACAAGGGCTCAACATATGGACCACCACATTGAGAGTTGTCAACCTCACATGTGGTTAGCAGGAGCAGCGGAATGCTTTCGACCTAAACCATTTGGTAGATGTAGAGGGGCTCATCTTCATTATATGACCTCGGGAAATTCAGTTCTTGATAGATGTAGGATAGTACCTCTAAACAACATAGCATTGGTGTTGGGGCCAAATTGGCGTCACCTTAAGTAGAATCAATGCCTTTCCGCCTTCAACTTTTCATGTTATCCAGAATTTAAGTCTTATTATATTGAAGATTCACAGCTGCTACACCACCAAGTTTGGTCTCTTGTTGGATATTCTATTGTTATCTTCAGCCCTTATATTTTTGAGGTGCTAGCCTTTATTTAAAATTTTAATGTGAAGCGACCTTTAATTATGAATAACAACTGGACTGATTTTCTTTCCAATCCATTTCTATTCCTGGTTTCAGGTTCTTCGTACAGAAGGCCCCTGAGGACTTTACAAAGAGTGAGATTTACATAAATTTCCGTTCTTTCTTTTTTCTTTTTTATGCATATAGAGATACATGCAATGTCCATATAACTTGGCGAGAAGCTGTAGAGTTAGTTGCTGGGAATTTACTGTTAAATATGACCCACCAAGGACCCGAAAAAACTTGGAAAGAATTGCTTCTTCTTCTTTTACATTGATGTTAAACATACTTAATTCCGGATAGGGATCTTAAATTTTCATCAGGGCCTTTGCCACCTTTGCAAGATTGGGTCCACAAACTACGATTACCTTCATGCTCTGTGAGAAACTGCTCAAGCTTGTGGGATTGAATGCAATCTAGTGGTTTGGATAGTTCATTTTCAGTTACAATAATACGGAAATGCCACAAAGCAGCCTAATTGCCAACAAATGCCATTTTGAGGGAAGGTATGTTTTAAACTAAATTTGTGTATTCCATGATTCAGAATTTCATATCACTATTCAATCATAGAAAACCAAAATTTTAGATTCAGGCGCCCAGTGAAATTGGGCTAGACTTTACCATTCATAAAATTTGTTCATCAATTCTTTTTTTTTTATGGTGGGATTTGGCTATATATTTATGAAGCCAAATTTGATGTTTTAGTCACTATTTTTAGAAACAAAAGGGCGTACTTACAGTTGTGGGTGATTTTTCCATCATGATGTTCATCCCTTGTCTGTTTTGGTTTCTGAACAGTTTAAGGTATTGTACAAGGAATGGTTTAAGAATAATTTATGATTATTACTTATGATGTCCGGATTTTTTTTAATTAGTCATATTCGACATTGGTATTGATATATATATATATATATATATATATATATATATATATATATATATATATATATATATATTATAATCGAGCATTTCATTCCTTAGACCAGCGTAAAATGGGTGTTTGGTGCTTTCCCATGTTATGATTCCAATAGAATGTGATTCCTTGAAATGTGATTGAGGGGAATTTAATTATTGTGAAAGTTATTTTACCATGTTTGGTATACATTAAAATTTATATGATTGGTCTATTGGGATGAAATACTGAATCTTTAAATATGATTAGGGATTCAAATCTTGACATTGTGAATGGAGTAAACTGAATTGTGAACAACTTCAATATCAGCTTGACATGTCAAAAATGATTGGTCTAGTGGGATGAAATATCGAATCTTTAAATATGATTAGGGATTCAAATTTTGACATTGTGGATGGAGCGAACTGAATTGTGAATAACTTCAATATCAGTTTGACATGTCAAAAAAACCTTGCATTGAATACATTGAAGTCTCCAGCAATCAACCAAGGGCAAGATCCAATTCCTCTGGAAACTTGCTGAAGATTTACCCATAAACTTTTCCTTTTCTTCAGCTTCATACATTCATAGACAACATGATTGAAAAAATCTTTATCCCACTTTGATTGTTAATGTTTACAGTGGGACTTGTACCCACAATCTCTCACTCCGGAGGCGAGCGCCTTATCCATTAGGCCACGCAAACCTTGTGTAAGAAGTAAATCTCTTTTATAAACCAGAAAAATAAAGGTGTCGTCTTGACATATATTAAAACATGAATACAATATTATTAACGGGGCTGGTTCAAGTGATAAATAACTTAATATTATTTAAACAGATTTCGAGTTCAAGGTTTTTTGCATGCAAAAAATTTCTGTTAGGAGAGTCGTCTACCAAAGTCAGGTGTGCGACGTGGATCTGTCCGGATTAATCAGGGCAAAACCTTAGAACCGAGAGGGTAACAAAAAGAAAATGAATACAATATTATCAAGGATAGATTGAGAGATGTTGAGATGCGGTCTTATCATCTGAAAATTCTAATTTTTACATAATTTATATATTTATATATTTCTATTAATGATTTAATTTCGTATTCCTAAATTTATAACTTAACCCCTTAAATTTCTAATATAATTTTTAAAAATTTATATTAATCACCTAAACTTTTGTGCCCAACCTTAAATATAATAGTCTAAAGAAAAAAAACCCTAAAATTTTAATTCCATATGTGATTAACACTTTTTTACTAAATTTTGTAAGTCAGTGATTTCACATCAGTAAAGATGACAAAATTTAAAATACATTACTGAACAACAAACTTTGTAGTTTCTAATTCTATTTGAGAGTTAAAATAACTGAAATTAATATATTGGTCTAATTATGGTTTTAGTCCCCGATTACTTTGATTGGCCAGGGGCACAGGAGTTAAGCATTGACCTGATTCTCCTTTCCACCTAATTGTTGTGTTTAATTTAGCCCTGCATCGGCCTGTGCTGCTAACTGATTCCCAATATGCAGCATCCCCTACCATATCTTAGTTTGGATGATGCTACTGTTCAAAAAAACTCGACACGTAGGTTCAAACGAGCTTAAATGCTTCGATTTAGGGATTTCAGGGTTATAGTGTGCATAAGTGTTATATAATTACATAATATAAAAGATGTGAAAAGAGAGCATTAGCAAAAAATGTGAGAATGATAATGATATTTCTTAGCAAGATAGCTTTAATTCCTAAAATAACACCAGAAAACAAAACTGAACTTCTTTCAGGATGAGAATTCTAAAGCATGTAAAGCTAAAACAAGTGATAGAGAAACGAGCTTAACTAGTTTATCTTCTTCCAGTAATCCTTAATAAAGGAGAGATTATACCCTGTATTTCCTGCAAGGAATGCTGTATCCTTAGCTCTTCCTCGATTGACCGCTTAAGATTTCGAATATGACCCTTCAAAGCATCTGAATTTTGAATATCTTCGGCCCTCATTTCAATAACCTTCTTTGTCAACCCCATCAACAAACTAGAATACCTTGGCATTGTGGCATTCTTACTCAAAAACATCAACAATAACCCGAGCTCGTCAATGTCCAAATTCGATACACATTTCAATAACTTCTTCCTTGTCACCAACTCCTCCATTACAGCAATCACGTTCTCCCGGTTCTTCTTATTCAAAACCGAAACCAATGCATCCTTATGCCTAAACTTCTTCAATAACTTATCATGCTCGGCCAGTTTGATCTTCTTATTTCTCATCACTAAATAATCCCCTTCGGCTGGCTTCTCACTCTGTCCTCTGTGAAAATACCTAAAATACCTAGGCCTCAAAACTTCAGGTTCCGATATACTTTCAAAACCCAAAATATTTCTTCTTCCTCCACTCTCCACATTCTCCTTCCCTTTCCTTCTCCCTGCAAATATGATCCCATTCGATGTTCCGATCACTCTAGTCCTACAGTCAGGCGAAAAACTAACCGACATTAGAGGAGCAGGAAATCGCATCGAATGGGTAACCTTCATATTACCATAATCAAAAACCTTCATGTAACCATCTAAACCAACACTCAAAATCCTATCTTCCATATATTCATCCCCACAATTTTCCTTCCTAGTTCTTCCAACACAAATCGATGTAACAGTTTTATTGTGACTATCCATCGAATGAATCATCCTCCCGCCCCCAATCAAATCCCATATCTTCACTGAATTCCCACCAGCAGTTGCAATTAATCCACCCGAAGGCAAATAAATCACATCTTCCACTGGTTTCCCATGGTTAACTTCCAAAACCGACTTCGAATTGTCCACTCTAACATCCCAAACCTTAACAGTATGATCATAAGAACCAGTAACGAACAAATCAGAACTTACCGGACTACAATCACCGCACCGCACGTAATCCTTATGGCCCAGCAAATCCAAAACCACGCTTTCTCCAGCAACATCCCATAATTTAACGACAGCATCGTCACCTCCGGACAGCAAATGGAGCTTATCGACAACCGGGTACTTAATGAACCGAACCGGGCGGGTATGAGACCGGAGTCTACGAAGTGGGGTCCGAGTTTTGACATCGAAGACTTGGATGAGACCGGAGAGATCGGAAGCGGCTAAGAGGAGGCCGTCGGAACGGAATGAAAGAGAAGAAACGACGTCGGAGAAGGAGATGGTAGATGAAGGTGAAACGTCGCCGTCAGAGAGGGAGAGCGGGGAGAAGAGGGAAACGGTGGCGGAGTAGGCGGCGGCGAAAGGATGGGGAGGCGAAGGGGAAAATGAAAGGGAATAGATGGAGGAGACGAGGTTAGGGATTTGAGTGGATTTGAAAGAAGACCAGTATTTGGATTCTGGAGTTTGGGGTAGGGTTCTTGGCTTGGATTTTAGCTTTGGTTTGATCAAGAAGGTTTTCGAGATTGTTGATGTCTGTTCTTCTGCTCTGATTTCTGCCATTTTCGCTTTGCTGTAAAAATGGAGGTTTCTTTGTATTTAGGGTTTAGGGTTTTGGAACTTCGCTGTAATAAAACGATGAATATAAAATAATTTTTGTTAAAACATGCTCTAAATCCCTGTATTCTCCATAAATTTAAGATTTATCCCTTTTACTTTTATTCTCAAAGTTAGTCCTATATTTTTTAATTTTAAATTCGATTGTTAACACCATAATTAGTTTGTTAAAATTATTGATGTTATATTAAAAAATATAAAAGTACCTCCACAATCATATAGAAAAATTGCCTTTGTGTTGAATCTGGATTTAGTAAAAGAATTTTAATATTATAAACAATTAAACTTAAACCTTTTTTTAAAAAATAAATAGTTAAGGGATACTTTTAGAAATAATAATAGAAGGACTAAATTCCATTCATACAAGAACTTTGAACATGTTCAGGTAAGCTACGCCATTCATCACTTAATCTTATTTGCTCTTTTATTTTATTCATTGTATATTTAATTTTTTTTTAATTTCATCAATGAATTTTATATATTAATTTTTTTTTGTCACTATTGTTTTTTCTTTAACACCGTGATGACATGAAATTTTTTATTAATTTTTAAATTGCCATGTAAGTACTATTAAATATTTTATTGATAGTTTTTATTTTTAAATTTTTAATTCTCCACACTGTTTGAAGTCAAAAAAGACATGTTAACACCTCCACCCGCTCAACCATCATTCAACCGAGCCTCCATTGCCGTTCCTTTGGTTGCCTTGTATGAAAAAAAATCATATATTATACTCGAGATTCACTGCAATTTGCTAATATGAATGCCCTTTCTTCGGAAGACATAAACCAAAATCTTCTTACTGGACTGATATTAGCATTAGCATCCTAAGAGCCCTCTGGTTGTATTGAAAAAAGATGAGCTTTTTCCCTGATGGTTCAGAAGATGTCACATCTATCTCAAGACCCACAACTTATTCAACAGTTTACGTCCCTGCAACTTGTTTCTATCTGGGTTTCTACCGGATTTCTATCCAGGTTTCAAGCAAATCAGCCAAATAAGAGCCTGCAATCGCATATTATTCTTATACTAGTACCCTTTCTGGTACCTACATAGGCTGCATTCCATTCCTTTTCCTTGCCTGCATCTGTCGTCTTCTTTTAAAGAGGTAATTCTTGGTCTTTCAACTAACCCAAAAAGAACTAGTTACCAATCAAAAGAAAAAAGAACAAATGAGATAGTTGAAACCAAAGCCGCATTCACGATCTTGAATCTACCATGAATAATCAAAATAAGATTACTTGCTCAAACAAATAATAATAAAAAAAAACACTCATCGTTATATATCTGACGAACTTTCCAAGTATTATCATGCAAATGTCCAGGCCATTCTTACAACAAGCTTTGATTTTAATTCTCATAGTTTTTTGTTTGGTTTAGTAAAGATTTGAACTGAGGATTGAAAAGGGAGAGGAGAGACTTTTATTTGATATTTGTATCAACACGAATAGTGACCGGAGGAGCACGGTGATATACGAAAACAGTGGACTCGTCGTTAGATCAATGGAATTTGAGACGTTTTTTCAGTTAAATGGACATCGGATTTGCATTTAGAATGATGAGAAGCATTTGGTGTGAAACTTTGGTAGCCATTAGACTCCGATGCCGGTGGTCAGGTGTCAATGGTGGTTAGAACGACGGCCGGCGTGGTGGCTAAAATATGCCTTTGTTTAGGTTAAGGAGAGAAAATAGGAGAAAAAGGGAGCAAGAAGAAGCATAAAGAAGGAAGATGGGAAAATGAAAAAAAAAATTATTTAGTTGAAATTTGATTTTTTTTTTGTAGTAATTCAAAACTACGTAGTTTTAATTTTGATTTTCATGTCATGACGTCATTAATGATTTAACGGTAGAGTGATAAAAAAAACTTAATGTATAGAGTTCAGTAATGAAATTGAAAATATTAAAAGTGCAGTGAGTGAAATAGGATAAAGAGTAAAATTTAATGATGAATTGTATAATTTAACCAACATATTTTAATGTAGACCCTCATATTAGTTCTCTCTTTTCAATATGTAGTGTTGGGCTTAAACATAGTTATTTTATGAGTTTGTTTATGGTTTTAGCTTTTCTATTATACTTGAATTTAAAATTTAATTCCTTCTGCTTCAGAAAACCACGACTTGCTTTTTTTATGGTAAACTGTATAAGTGATCACTGAATTACTTTCAGTATGGATCATTATCATCACGTTTGATGTATCATATTATAATCATCATTTTGTTAAGGTTTATATCATAAATAAGTACATAATAAAGTAGACCATCTTTTTCATTTAATTATTTAAAGTATTTTTGATCAAAATATATACTTAACTTTTGGTTAAAATAGGTACCAAAAATATTTTCTGGTTAAAATAGGTAGCTAAAACATTCAATCTTTACCATCTAGAGTACCTAAGGTATTTTTTAACTAATGTCACATATCAAGTTTTTTAGCATTTAGATGAAAAAGATTGAACATCTTAGGCACCTATTTTGATTGATTATATATGTACTTCAACAGCCTCTATCAGATGCATTCGGGCTGCTTATGCACAGAAATGGTCAATGGGAATGGACTCTTGCACCTGGAGTTTCCCCTTAACCAAGGTACCAGCATGCTACAGTTTCCTGTAATTTATGTTTTTCATTAAACCATAACACAATAACAGTTTTCTGATGTGAGATGCTGTTTTGATTGATTATATATGTACTTCAACAGCCTCTATCAGATGCATTCGGGCTGCTTATGCACAGAAATGGTCAATGGGAATGGACTCTTGCACCTGGAGTTTCCCCTTAACCAAGGTACCAGCATGCTACAGTTTCCTGTAATTTATGTTTTTCATTAAACTATAACACAATAACAGTTTTCTGATGTGAAATGCTGTTTTGATTGATTATATATGTACTTCAACAGCCTCTATCAGATGCATTCGGGCTGCTTATGCACAGAAATGGTCAATGGGAATGGACTCTTGCACCTGGAGTTTCCCCTTAACCAAGGTACCAGCATGCTACAGTTTCCTGTAATTTATGTTTTTCATTAAACCATAACACAATAGCAGTTTTCTGATGTGAGATGCTGTTTTGATTGATTATATATGTACTTCAGCAGCCTCTATCAGATGCATTCGGGCTGCTTATGCACAGAAATGGTCAATGGGAATGGACTCTTGCACCTGGAGTTTCCCCTTAACCAAGGTACCAGCATGCTACGGTTCCTGTAATTTATGTTTTTCATTAAACTATAACACAATAACAGTTTTCTGATGTGAAATGCTGTTTTGATTGATTATATATGTACTTCAACAGCCTCTATCAGATGCATTCGGGCTGCTTATGCACAGAAATGGACTCTTGCACCTGGAGTTTCCCCTTAACCAAGGTACCAGCATGCTGCGGTAAGTTGATGCCATTACTATTGCATATAGTTGTTTTGGACATAAGATTCAGTTTTTATAGTCCTGCATCGCTTTCTTGCTTCGAAAACAGTCGGCCTGATATTTTCTTTCTACCAGGTTTTTGTTGGCGCTCTGTTGCATGTTACTGGAGGTGTGCTTAGAGGAGGTGTGCTTAGAGGAGGACGTGCAATAGAAGGTGAAGAAAATGTTACAGGTAAGCTTTTGCTTCTCGTCTTGAAATAATTGTCTGAAGAGTGTGGTGTTGTTCATATCTCAAATAAGTTTATTTCCACTATTCGCTTTACTTCGTAGTACTGGATACTGCTGCTGGAGTATGGTTGGACAGGAATGGGCTTGTGACTTCCTCAAAGAACACTAAGGGACATGTTGAATATGATCCATCTTTGGAACTTATGCGCCGTTGTCACCATGTGTATGCATCTGTTGGTGTTCGAATATTTATTTATGGTGGGGTTAGAGGAGGTAAGGAAATGGTTGTGCCTGAAATTTTGTGCGCATTTCTCTTACAGATGTGTAAGTGTGTAACTGCTCTGCTCTTTGTAGTGACAATGCGTTTAGCTTGCTTTTGAGTTTTTTGCAAAATAAAAGTTATAGATTTAGGTCATTTATCTAATCCTGTGCGTCAATTTCTAGTCGTGTATGCTTTCATGCTTAATTATTTTATTTTCTGCAGATACGCTGTTAGATGATTTCCTAGTTGCAGAAAATTTGCCATTCCAGTCTGACATGAATTCGCCTATATTATCCCCCAAGAGAGCCTCGAATTTGTCCAGCCCCAGATTTAACCAGCTAACTAAAGCTCATTTGGTACATTGCAAACTTCAGATGATGGTCAAGAGTTCTCTTCATCCGCTAGCTTGAGGTCTGACTCAACATTTCTCTCACTCATACATGAACACTGTGGGAGTACTGATTGATGATTAATCTTTACCTTATAGCATGGACACAAATTCTATGGAGAAACTGAGGGAGGCTTCTGCTTCTGAAGCTGAGGCGGCAAACGCCGTATGGCAAACTGCACAGGCTGCATCTGCTGTTCCGGAAGAGGAAACATCCGTCTCTGATGACAACTCACCTGCTGCCGCTTTCAGATGCTAGCGATAATGAGGCTGATGTTCGCCTTCATCCTCGAGCTGTATGTATACTTCTAGTCACATGGCTGTATGGTTTTCTAATTGTCCAGCTACATCATTCTAATGCTTTTTATTTTTTTTTCCACACAAGTTGTGGTCGCCAAAGAGACAATTTGGACCAGTTTGAAAACGAGAGCCGAAGGATGATTCCTTCTGATAATGACTTATCCTACCCTACCAAAAAGTTTGCTAGACAAAGGTCTCCGCTGGGCTTGCATAAAAGGCAAGCGGAATTAGTTAGTTTTCTATTAGAAACTTCTTAAAACATCGTTTAATATCTACAATCATTTTACAGGTCATTTCTACATTGCTTAGGCCCCGGAACTGGAAAGCTCCAGTAAATAGGAGGTTTTTCTTGGATTCTTATAAAGTGGGTGAGCTCTGTTATGCTGCTGAACAGCTATTTATGCAAGAACCCACGGTCCTTCAGTTAAAAGCTCCAGTAAAA